CTCACCACTGCTATTCAACATAGTATTAGAAGTCCTAGCCACAGCAATCAGACAACAAAAAGAAATCAAAGGCATCCAAATCGGCAAAGAGGAAGTCAAACTCTCACTCTTTGCAGATGATATGATACTGTACGTGGAAAACCCAAAAGACTCCACCCCAAAACTGCTAGAACTCATACAGGAATTCAGTAAAGTAGCAGGATATAAAATCAATGCACAGAAATCAGTGGCATTCCTATACACCAACAACAAGACAGAAGAGAGACAAATCAAGGAGTCTATCCCATTTACAATTGCACCCAAAACCATTAGATACCTAGGAATAAATCTAACCAAAGAGGCAAAGGATCTGTACTCAGAAAACTATAAAATACTCATGAAAGAAATTGAAGAAGACACAAAGAAATGGAAAAACGTTCCATGCTCATGGATTGGGAGAATCAACATTGTGAAGATGTCAATGCTACCTAGAGCAATCTACACATTCAATGCAATCCCCATCAAAATACCATCCACTTTTTTCAAAGAAATGGAACAAATAATCCTAAAATTTGTATGGAACCAGAAGAGACCCCGAATAGCCAGAGGAATGTTGAAAAAGAAAAGCAAAGCTGGCGGCATCACAATTCCGGACTTCCAGCTCTATTACAAAGCTGTCATCATCAAGACAGTATGGTACTGGCACAAAAACAGACGCATAGATCAATGGAACAGAATCGAGAGTCCAGAAATGGACCCTCAACTCTATGGTCAACTTATTTTTGACAAAGCAGGAAAGAATGTCCAATGGCAAAAAGACAGTCTTTTCAACAAATGGTGTTGGGAAAATTGGACAGCCACATGCAGAAGAAAGAAACTGGACCATTTCCTTACACCTCACACAAAAATAGACTCCAAATGGTTGAAAGACCTAAACGTGAGACAGGAGTCCATCCAAATCCTAAAGGAGAACACAGGTAGCAACCTTTTCGACCTTAGCCGCAGCAACTTCTTCCTAGAAACATCGCCAAAGGCACGGGAAGCCAGGGCAAAAATGAACTATTGGGATTTCATCAAGATAAAAAGCTTTTGCAGAGCAAAAGAAACAGTCCACAAAACCAAAAGACAACCGACAGAATGGGAGAAAATATTTGCAAACGACATATCAGATAAAGGGCTAGTATCCAAAATCTATAAAGAACTTATCAAACTCAACACCCAAAGAACAAATAATCCAATCAAGAAATGGGCAGAAGACATGAACAGACATTTCTCCAAAGAAGACATCCAAATGGCCAACAGGCACATGAAAAAGTGCTCCACATCGCTCGGCATCAGGGAAATCCAAATCAAAACCTCAATGAGATACCACCTCACACCCGTCAGAATGGCTAAAATTAACAAGTCAGGGAACGACAGATGTTGGCGGGGATGTGGAGAAAGGGGAACCCTCCTACACTGTTGGTGGGAATGCAAGCTGGTGCAACCCCTCTGGAAAACAGTATGGAGGTTCCTCAAACAGTTGAAATTAGAGCTACCGTTCGATCCAGCAATTGCACTACTGGGTATTTACCACAAAGATACAAATGTAGGGACCCGAAGGGGTACGTGTACCCCAATGTTTATAGCAGCAATGTCCACAATAGCCAAACTGTGGAAAGAGCCAAGATGCCCATCGACAGATGAATGGATAAAGAAGATGTGGTATATATACACAATGGAATATTATGCAGCCATCAAAAGGAATGAGATCTTGCCATTTGCAACGACGTGGATGGAACTGGAGGGTGTTATGCTGAGTGAAATAAGTCAATCAGAGAAAGACATGTATCACATGACCTCACTGATATGAGGAATTCTTAATCTCAGGAAACAAACTGAGTGTTACTGGAGTGGTTGGGGGTGGGAGGGATGGGATGGCTGGGTGATAGACTTTGGGGAGGGTATGTGCTACGGTGAGCGCTGTGAATTGTGCAAGACTGTTGAATCACAGATCTGTACTTCTGAAACAAATAACGCAACATATTTTAAGAAAAAAGGAAAAGAAGAAGATAACAGGAGAGGAAGAAAAGGGGAGTATGTCAGAGGGGGAGACAAGCCATGAGAGATGATGGACTCTGAAAAACAAACTGAGGGTTCTAGAGGGTAGGGGGGTGGGGGGATGGGTCAGCCTGGTGATGGGTATTAAAGAGGGCACGTTCTGCATGGAGCACTGGGTGTTATGAACAAACAATCAATCATGGAACACTGCATCAAAAACTAATGATGTAATATATGGTGATTAACATAACAATAAAAAAAATTTTGAAAAAAATAAAATATATATTAACAAAGTATAAGCACATTTAACATAAAAGACAATGAGGAGGTTATGTCATAGTCTTTTTTTTATTGAAATACAGTTGACACACAATACAGTCAACATCTATTTAACAAACATTTATTGAGCACCTACAATATGCCAGGTACTGTGCTAGACCCTCAAAGGCAATTAAGTGACAGAGAATGTTGAGCCCAAAGAAGCCTCAAAACAAAAGAATTGAACTGTCTTTAAGTGCTGGAAAGCTTTTTGTATACAATCAAGTCCTATTCTCAGTAGCTCAAAAGGACTAAAGGAAGACCTATGTGTGGACAGACATGTAGTCATTTTGTAAAATAAAATGACCAGCAGCAATAATAATGAGATGATGACTAACATTTATTGAGTCCATGGTACAACTCTACCCTGTTATTTTCTAAAAGCTTTACATATATTGTATTTAATATTCAGAATAATCTTGGGAATACATGCTATTATTAACCTTATTTTAATTGTGCAAAAGCAATGTTCAGAGAAGTGAAGTAGCTTGGATCTTGGGTTGTGCTATAGGCAATTGGAACATCCTACTAAACTTCAGAGGTTGGGCTCTTAAAATTTTAACAGAAAGAGCTGGGCTCTTCACCATGAAAGTGTTCAGAGAGAATCAATACGAAATAATAGAGAGAGGACAGTGCATGGGCATAAAGGGTTAATTCAACAAGCACTTTTTTTTCCAAGAAGCACTTATGAAGCACCAGCTACATGCATATTTAGAGCCACAAAGAGGGGACAGTGAATGGTCTTGCCCCTGAAAAAAAGACATATAAAATAATTATAATCAAAGTGATAAAGGCAATGATAAAGGGATATAAATATAACCATGGACAGGAGACACAAATTCAACACAAGGAGGAGGGAAGTCAGAGAAGGCCTCATAAGGGAGATGACTTTAACCTAGGTCTTAAAGGATGTATAGGATTTTGCCATATAAAAAAGTGTGGTAAAATTATTCTGGGCAGAAGCAGTATTTCCTCAGGGTTTAATGATGATGTCATCCCTGGCCATGATTATTGGAGAAGTGGGGGAGGTTTCCTGGTGCCTTTAAAACCACTATTCACCTATATGTTCAGTCAGAACCCAAGGAGAAAGAGACAAGTCCCTACGGCCTATAGCACACCTGTGATGCTCCATCCCTCTGCAAGGAAGCTGTCTGAATTCTTTCACCTGATCCTCAAGGAGAGGTGAAAGGATGGAGTGCAAATGCAAAGCCATTCTTTGTAATTCCAAAGCCAAAGGGGCAAATTTTATTATATTCTCTAAATTGTCCACAATGATATACATCAGTTGGGTGAAGTGGAATTTCAGAGAGGTGGAAGGATATACGAGGTCACCAAGATGAGGAAGGAGCAATTAAACAACTGTTGGCCAACACAATAACCCCCCCCCACAAAGGTGTCAGTGCAGGCAAGCTTGGATAATGGCTGAAGATCACAGAAGTAATGGTCAATCACACAGGGATCACAATAACAGAGGCACAGACTGTCTCATCCTACTTCATGAAGAAACACTAATAGGCATGAAAAGAAGTGGACTTGGCATGGTCACTTAGAATAAAGGACAGAAGTCTGGAGTAGAAACATGCATGGACAGTATTTCCCTCCCTTACATTCTTCAACTTAGGCCTAATAAGAATTTTCTACATTCTGTGTTTATTTATATTTGGATAAGCCTAAAAGTGATCTTTTCATTAAAATGTTGACTTGATCTTTCCCTACTGACAGCTAGAACCTATGCCATTTTGATATTTTTTTAAATTTATGGATCCTGGACATTGTGAAAGGGCTTGCGGAGATTGAAGAACTACCTTTTGTACCAACATGTCACAAGAACTCAAATTGCCCCAGAGATTTTTTCGGTACTTGTAATTAGATGGTCTACGGTACAAGATGCCGAGAACAAATCAGAATAACAGAAAAATTCTTGGACACAATTTTCAAAGATACACTTCTCCACACAGGAAGAGAAGATCACATTGGTACCCTCTTCAAATATCCCATGATAATTCCTCTCTTTGGTTTCCCTTCTTAATGAAATATAGGTTGTTATTAGGAGGTTGAGCAAGGAAAGGAGAAGGGAGGGAGGGAGGAGGGAGGGAGGGAGGGAGAAAGGAGGGAGGGAGGATGAAAGTATATAATAGAAGTACTTTAACTTACAAAACACCTGTCAAAATATTCTCCTTTGCATTTGCATTTAGTTTGAGTCTCAGTATTACCCAATCCCATGACATTGTTGGATATCATGGAGCCAATTTGATCTCTGTCCTTGGAACATTACACCAGGATACAAACCAAGTCTTTTCTTCTAAGGAGAATCACAGAAGCAGCAATATTAAGTCCTTACATTTGTTTCTGCCATTCCTGAATGTCCCACTGAAATCAAAATCCATTTCAAAAACAGAGAATAATCAGACATGTGTTTTTCTTTACCACTTTCCCATTTTTCACTCCATTCCTGAGTTCTTTTTGCCCCCCAACCTCCTCATGGCAATTTTCACCTCTGCATTTCTGAGTGTGTAGATGATGGGGTTCAGCATGGGCGTGACAACTGTGTAGAACACAGCCACCAGTTTGTCCTCAGTGAAGGTGGAGGAGGCTCGCATGTAGAGGAAGATGGCAGGTCCAAAGAACAAAAGGACCACCGTGATGTGAGAGGCACAGGTGGAGAGGGCTTTGTACCTCCCCTCTGCAGAATGATTCCTCAAGTTGAACAGGATGACAACATAGGAGGACACCAAGATGAGGAAGGAGCACAGAGCAATTAAGCCACTGTTAGCCAACACAATAACCCCCTCCATAGAAGTGTCAGTGCAGGCAAGTTTGAATAATGGCTGAAGATCACAGAAGTAGTGGTCAATCACATTGGGACCACAGAAGGGCAACCGGATGGTGATGAGAATCTGTATAATGGAATGAAAAAAGCCACCAAGCCAGGAGCCAGTCACCAGTACATGACACAGTTGGTGGCTCATAATGTTCATATAATGAAGAGGCTTGCAGATGGCCACATAGCGATCATAGGCCATCACCACAAGCAAAAGGACCTCAGTGACCCCAAAGAAGTGGAAGAAGAATATCTGAGCCACACAGCCCTCCAGGGAAATGGTTTTAATCTTGGCAAGTAAGTCTGTGATGAATTTAGGGACAATAGTAGAGGAGTAAGTGATCTCCACCAGGGAAAGGTAGCTAAGGAAGAAGTACATGGGGGAATGCAGACTCTTACTGACATTGACTGTCAGGACAATGAGGCCATTGCCCACCAATGTGGCCAGGTACATGGGAAGAAACACAACAAAACACACTCTCTGCACCTCCGGATCCTGGAAAAGGCCAGTGAAAATTAACTCAGTCACATTATTTGTACTGGATTCCATGTGGAGAAGATGGATCTCAGAGAAGAGTCCTATGACAAAACAAACATCATAACACCAATCATGCATGCTTATTTAGCACTTGCCTGTTAATAGAACCCTTTCATATATATTATCTTACTGGTTTATTTTACTGACTTATTTGTTAATATAACCAATGTTTACCCATCAAGTAAACTTCTGCTCATGAATCCCTTTTTCCTCCATTTACTTCTCAGAAATGCCAATCTCACTAATAGGTCTCCCTTTCTAAAGAGTGTCTTCAATATTTTCCTTACATGATATTATCAAAGTTTCTGAATTTTTCAGGCCCTATGGTTTTGCCCAATCCCACATCTCTTCATGAATTTTTACAAACATTTTGAGAAAATTGTGACACCTGGGGCCAAAGTGGACATCTGGAAGCTGTTGAGAATATAGGTCAGTATCAAACAATAGTTCAAATATAATACATGGGGATTCACCAATTTGCTTGTTTCTGACTTCCAGTTTCCTCACCTTTGGCAAACATTTTTGTCAGCAGGAGGTGAGGATTTATTGAAAGCCAGTTCTTTGACCAAATGTTTTATTAAGCACCTACCGTGTGCCCATGCAATTCAGGACATATGAAAGAAGAAAGATGGCTCTCACCCTCAGGAAGCTTGTCCTTCGTGCAATTCAGCAGCACATTTATGAAATGAGGCAGAGGGAAACTCTCCAGATTTTCTCTGCTTTTGAAATTACTTTTCAGTTGTTGATCATTATGTTGTACACCTGAAACTAATGTAACATTGTGTGTCAGCCATACTTCAGTTAAAAAAAAAACAAGTAAAATTACTTTGAAGTATTTCTTATTCCTCTTATTTTTCCTTCTTCCACTTATACTTCCAAACTGAAATAGATTAAGTACCTCCCTCATCACCAATTTCTCTCATAGTAAAAATTAGAAGATATACACAAGGTGACAATATGCTAAGAGAATCCTCAGCAAGTTACCTGGCTAACACTGGAGAAGTGGGGGGTTGCATGGCATGAAACAAGGGCACCCAAGAAGAACAACTGAACAGGAAAGGGGAAGCAAGAGGAGGTCCCCTTATTGGTGCAGAGGAAGGGAAACAAGGAAGGCATCAGAAACAACCACAGAGGATGTAAAATAGCCTGGTGGCCTGAAGGAAACTAAAGCATTTGTCTACCTGATATTCACCATTGTCATTGTCATCCCAACAGCCACAGCAGCAGATGCTGCTGAACTTTAGTTAGTATCTACTGTGTGTTGGACTGTAGAAAGCACTTTACCATTGTCCCCTCAATTAATTCTTCCTGACCACTTTGATGTAGCTAATTGATAGGTGACTCACCTGTGACTCAGAGAGGGTAAGTAACCTGCCCCAAAACACACAGTTTGTGAGTGATTGAGCCAGGGCTGAAACCCAGGGCTTTCTAGAAAGGGAGGGAGAGCTACCACTCCTCAGCCAGAGGAGAAATGGGTTAGCCACTCCAGCACCTTAGAGAAATAACACCAAGACCTATCGTTAATACAAAACTTGTCCAGTTATGCCTTCCCTGTGAATAGCAGGAGCATTCCAATGAACTCCAAGTTACTGGGAACATTTCATTGCCACCACCTCTGGAATGAGAGAGACCAAGAAGCTATGTGGGATACTGAGGAGAGTGTGAGACTTGGAGATGCCCCTTCCTCCTGTGCCCCCATGGCACGGCTTTGACCAGGGGTTAGAGCTGCAGCTGGTGATACTGAGTTGTGGAGTCAGTATCTCCAAGCAGGGGTTCCTGACAGACCCCTCTTCTCAGCTGGGTCTTACAGCAGCACCATCATTTCTGCCTGGTCCTCAGGCTTGAAATTTTGAAATCACCTCTAACTCATCCTCTTCTGCATTTCCCACATTTCCTGTTGATTTCACCAGTTTCTTCCTCCACCTCGTCCTGCAGCCTCCATCTTCCAGCAGGATATAAGTTCATGTGAGGATTACCACAATTCCCCCATGCTCCATCTGTCTCCAGAAGTCCCAGGTCTTTATCACCTCAATGTGTTCTGCATACTGAAGTCAGAATTCTTCCTGAGTCCCTCTGCTCAGATCACTCAGAAACGACCAATATATCCCCATTGCCCGGAAATCAGCCCTCAATTCCTCCACCTGACTTTTAGAAGCTCTAAAGTACTTCCTCATGCTCCTTCAAGCCAACTTTACTGACAACTAAACAACACATATTATTGTTCAATTTAGAGGTCCCCTCACCTTTCCATGAAGGCAAGCTGATAAACACAAGAGCATCTCTTACTTTGCACATTATAAGGTGTGCCTGCCCCTCTGCCTCCCGCTCCAAGTCCTACCCCTCTACAAGGTCCAGTGTCTAGGAAACCACCCTGGTTACTTCCATTCTAGTTCATTCACCTCAGCTCTCAACTCTGGAAATGAGTTTACATGATCGCTGTGTTAAATGCAGTAACCCATGTACTGCATGAACTGAGTTCATAGTTCATAGCAAGCCCTCAATAAATGTAAGCTATTTTTATTATTATTATTGTTACACTTCTAAAATGCAAATCTGAACAAGTTATGCATTAACTTGAAATCTATCAACAGTTTTCCACTGCCTACAAGATTAAGTTCAATAGTACTAGCATGGCATTTAAGAACTGAAGCCTGTTCACCTTTCTAGCTTCACTTGCCAGGATTCCCCCTGGAGTCTAATTTCCAGCCATTCTGAAATATATGTCATTCTCCCAAACTTGTCTGTTGCCTGTATGCTCTTTACATTTTGTGTGGCATGCACACCTTGGCTTTCTGATTCATGTTTATTCTGGCTTTAATGCTTAGATCAAACACCACTTGTCATTCCACTCCAGCCAACATTTCTTCCATGTTTTTTACATCTTTCCACTGGAGTATTTAGCAAATTTTATTATAATTATTGTTTCTGTATCTCTCCCTTACTAAGTTGAGCTTATTCATGTCTGAATCTTCAGAATTAAATACATAGTAAGTGCCCAGTAAATGGTCATTGAGTTGAATTTCAAAATGAAGATATTCTCTACCACCTGCAGTTGGAACATACAATTTATTACAATTGATTTTTATATTGACTTTTATTGCTTACTGTGGTTTTATGTTGCTTATTTGTCTTCAGTTTATTACTCCGTAAACCCACACAGCACCTAAGTGTCAATCTTACAGATGATGTTCAATATATATGTATGTATATATGTAGACTTCTGACTGATGATAAATTGACTAACCAGTAGAATTGATAAGAACTAGATTAATGCTATCTGTCTATATTTTCCTTTCAGCCTCAGAAAGGAAAATATATCTTGACCTCTTATAACACAGGTGTGACTCTGTTTCACCAAATATATAAAGTTGTGAATAATGTAGATCATTTCTATTTCAGAAACAGACATTTTACTGCACTGGGTCAAAGCTACACGTTACAACTTTGCATTTAAGTTTTCCATGAGCTGGGTGGGGAAGATCCCAAAATCATTATGTTCCATAGAAGACATTTATTGTTCTTTGTTTTGTCCAGTGTTGCATGGACATGAATTGTCTAATTGTCATTAAAAGACTAAATCTCTTACACACTCATGTACATATCATATCTGAGTTTGTATGTTGAGAAGATTACAATTTGGACCACATGGTATGTATTTTAAAATACAAACAAAAAATTCATTAGGGAAATGTAAAGCAGTTGTATCAGATGAGTACATGGGATTGTGAGACACACACGTGATGAATAGCTGACGGTCAGAGGTGACCCGCCTTTTAATGGAGGGAATAGTTCCAGGTTCATGGACCTCTAAAGGACTGGAGAAAACAAAACAAGAACATCTATTGAACTGCCTTTCTCTCTCCTCAGGGACTTATCTATAATAGGGGTTATGGTAATAAGCACTGCAGTTGGCAGCACATTCTTAGCTCTCTTACCCACATGTCATGTGTCCCTGTAAATAGTTTTTTTTATTTTATCAGAATAGGGTAACAAATTATATTTGACATGGTTGTTGCAAGAAATAGACCTGAGATAAAATTTATAAAGTACTCAAGAAGGTTGCTTGACAAATAAGATGCTCTCAATAAGTAGTAACTATTATTAGTTCACACTTCCTGGTATTTATTTACTTTTTTTTTCTGCTTTCTTTTTCCCCCTTGCCCAAGCGAAAGACAGTAACAAATTACCTCCTCTTCCCCCCAGCACTTGCCCAAATAAAACCCACACCCTAGGATCACAGATTACAAGGTAATCATCCATGGATTACATGCAAGCTTAGGTAGGTAAATGATGTTCTAGATCCTAACTAGGTAGAATTTTATCCTCTAAAATAAAGCCACAATGAGAGAAATCTGACAAGGACAAAATAATAAGTGATAGAGAGCCTGGAAGATCTATTGCAATGAACTTAAAGTCACATCACAAGGGCCTCCTTCCCACAACTCACTCTAGACCCCAAGTGGTACTTTATGGAATCCCAGAATGTGAATATCAGGGAGAACTTTAGGGCAAATTCTGTCCAGCCCCCTCCTGAAACTGAGGCTCAGGGAGGAAGAGTGATTCACTCTAGATCACACAGTGATTTGGAGCCTCTTACCCACATCCAGTTAACCAGAGACATCCTTCTGGGTATGGCATTACCTACCTTGTTTGAGTAATGTTCAGTTTTACAGCAAAGATTTGAACATAAAAGTTCTCCTTAGAATTAGGAACAATTTCTCCCTCTGTTGCAAGAGCTCATCACTCAAAGTGATGTCCTGTGCTGAAGAGACTGAAGGAGTGTGCCTTGGAACACAGGAGGCTCTCTACAACAAAACTCTTCCACAGGGTTTCTTCCTCTGTATGGAAGGCCCCCAGTGGGTTAAGCCGCTTCAGCTCAGCTAAGGCACCAGGTGAAACAAGAGACTTTAGAGCTGAAAGGCAATTTGAAGGCTATTAGTACAATCTTCATAGTTTACAGATGAAGCAGCTTAGAGCGAGTTTAACTGACTTCTGAGTCAACAGCTAGTTACTGATCAAGTTGCTGAGGCACTGTTTCCATGACACTGGGATTCCTTTCTAGTAATTTTGATTTTGTG